TTCTTCTGGACATCTCACCCTCTCACCCCCTCTTTCACTTGTCTCTATGAAGTGTTGCAGCAACAAGGCCCAAGTATTACTACTTAGTAGTATTTTGGAGAAGTGGAGAAAAAAAAAAAGGCAATACAATTTTCCACCTTGGAGAGAGCTTTGAAAATAAACAGTCTCTAATTATTCATTATTTGCCTTGAGTGCAATAATTACTCCTATTAGAAAAGACAATACAAAACTGTTGCCAAAGTGACTGACATTTTAAATTACATTTTGAGAATGTCTGATAGCAGCACAGCTTCTGATTTCTTCCCTCCAAAAATAAAAAAAAGTTTTCCCTCACACTCTTCCATCCCCAGAGAAACTGAGGGGAAATTTGCCTAAATTGTTCAAACAAGCCCTGAACATAAACTACCAGTCACAGGCACTTAGAATATTACACATTAACTGAATTAGGATATTTTGGTGTATTTTCCTAGAACACCTGGTGATAGCTACCTACAATACTTTCATGACCTTGAATAAATGAGATTTTCTTCATTACTGATGATTACAGGACATGAAAGGCACCTCTGGAAACATGCTCTTTTCTAACATTAATGTAGAACTTAACACACTCACACTCAGTAACTAACTTGGGTGCTTTGCAAAGGAAGCAAACCTGGAATTAGATCAAATTTATCTAAAAATTATGAAGTGCAGCTTGGAAGGGGCCCCTGGAAGTCACTAAAACTAACTCATGGATCTGAACATCCTGTCTCAAGAAGGGACCTGATCCCAAAACCTTTCCTAGTCATCCTGTAAACAAGTTATCAAAAGGCAAATTGAAACTCTTTGCCTGAGTAAGTCTTAAAGGGTTTCACATATTGAGGAAAAAGCAAGTTTCTTTTCCTGCTACAATGGAATAGCTGCAGCCATCTATCCAACTTTCCTCAATCTTGGTGTATCCTGGAGAATGAAAATGGTCCAAGGAGTAGTGTGGGATAAGCCAGTTCTTATTTGTAGCCAAGCCTCAATAATAACTTGGGAGTTGTTCCCATGATTTTTGCATGCAGCAGGTACCAGTTTAACACCTTATAAAAACATGGATTTATTTTAATGTTAACACTAAGAAAGCATAAGGTCATTGCAAAGCCACACCGAATGGCCTTTTACATTTCCCTGTTTCTGAAGATTCATGCCCCCAGCAATTCAGTTTGACTTATGCCCACGGACAGCCTTAAAAAGCTCTAAATAAATTACATTAATTTAGTTGCTATGGAGGACAAGGCTGGCCTCCACAGGAAGCCAGTTAGGCAGCTTCATCCCTCACACTGCACCGACACTCACCACTCACAGTTGTGGTTCTCTGATGGAAGCAGAGTTAAATATGGAAACCACAAGCTGCGAAGGAGCGAACTCAGAATAACTGGCACATCCAGCAAAATGTCATCTGCCCCATGTGAGTGGAATGTGACAAATCAGTGCATCTTGCCTCAGACAGTCATCTGACTCCTCAGGAAGCTCAGTTCCCGTGATGCTTGGTAAGACATATGCACGGAACGTGGACAGAGAGACGAGGAGGAAACGTCTTCCAGCACCAGTTGGGCCCAGTCGTGTGCCCAAGCTCACGTAAATTCCAACTGCATTTCTCTCCAGCAGTTCTTCCTCTCCAGACAAGCCTGGCAGCACTACATGAAGCGGCCAAACTACCTTCCAGGTAGCAATGTTAACACTAAGGTGGTTTTATTATTATGGTTCCCCGATTATTTTTCCCAACAGAGGAGTGCTGTCACAGCAGTTCTCGTGCCCACCAGCTGGCTCCTGTTCCCTGTGACCATCACACCTCGGTCAATATGTCCTGTCAAAATGCTCCACTAATGGCTGCAGTGTGACAGGGACAGGAGGCAGCTCTGCACTTGCTAAAACTGCAACAAGGAAGCACAAGGAAGAGTGAAAGGCAGGAAAGCCTGGCCTGCAGTATTTGTCTAGTCACACTCTCCTGCCAGGTGCATTCAAAATGTGTCTTTCATCCCTGCACAGTACTTCCATTGAGCAACCCATATCAATATCTGGATTTTCTTCCACAGCAAGCTCAAAACCGACAATTCTGAACCCATTCACAATGGAGACATTGCAAAAAAATTAAATAAAACAAAAAAAGGCAGTTTTAAAAATGCCCTACAGCTACAACTTGGCCAGCTAGCATTTCTCTTCCCCGCCTCTATTCCCTGGCTGCATTAAGCACTCAAATCCTTACTATCCCTACCCTCTCTAACACAAACACTGGAGATTAAAGAAGCACTGTCAGCCCTAGTCCTTTTCTCATGCAAATCTCAGGTGACACAAGGTTTTTCAGGGCATAAGCCACTCCTGTTTGGGACAGAGACTTGCATATGGGTGCCTGTCCTTTCCCTCCTCTCCCACTTGTATGTTCTTGTGTTGCCTGAACAACAAGGCAAGGAAACCCAAACCCTTTGGTTTTAGCTACTCTTGGTGAGGTAAGAGAAATGATGAAAGAGCGAGAAAGTTAACCAGCACAGTAAAATCAGCCAAAAGTTATCATGGAATCACAGAATAGGCTGACTTGGAAGGGATCCACAAGGATCAGAGTCCAACTCTTAGCCCTGCATGGGACCATCTCCAAGAGCCATGAACTCTTTCACATCTCCTTAGCAACTAATTAAAAAACTTATGCCTTTCTACTTCCACTGACAAAACCATTTGTTTAGAACCACATAAACACCACAAGTCTTAATGTGAAATATGAAAATGTCCCATTTTCACCTCAGCTCTTTCCTTGTGAATTTCCAAGAGGCTGAAGAGGCTCAATTTACATTAAGAGTAAAGAGTGAGTAAGGTACTTCACTGCACACTGCAAAAGTCAGTTGAAGAATCCATTTATCCACAATTTAGAGCAGGAACTACACAAAAATGAAGCTGCCTTAAAAACAGGGACTCATCTGATATAACTGTTGGGGAAACTGCACACACAGACAGATGTCTTGGGAAGATCATCTCTGTGAGAGGGAAGAACACAGTGAAGGTACCCAGAGCTGAGGGCTGGTTCACTTCATGCCAGAAGACTGTTGCAACACAGCTTTTTTTTTTTTTGCTTTTTTTTCTCCTTTCTTTGAAGTGTGAATAGCTTGGAATTGCTCAAAAATATACTCTTCACACTCTATGAGTAACCACACTTTTCCCCCATCAGGTAAGTGGCAAAGGTGTTCCTCTGAGACAGCAGGGGTTTCCTCACTCACCAGGTCCTCAGCAATATTTCTCTTACCTGCACACGGACTCACTGCAAAGCCCACTCTCCTCTGGGCTCTGTCAAAGATCACATAGAAGCCTTCCATGACTGTAGCACCAATAACCAGAGCGTTTGTGGAGGAAGAGATGCCAAACCGGTAGCACTGCAAATTCTCCCCTATTCCGAGGATGGGTTGGATATAGAGCTATTAGAACAAACAAACAAAAGATCCAGGGTGTAAGAAGTCACACCACACAGTAGTCAGAAGTTCAGTCCTCTTGGTTTTTATAGTCTAGCACTCAAACCCCGCTGGAATTAGAGAATTAACAGGGGCAAAGGTTTCTGTGCAGGATTTAAAACTGGTCGAAGCTCACACGCAGGTGAGAGGTAAAGCTCTTGGATTATAAGCTTAAATTTGAACACAGTCAGTCACTATGTGAAGGCCAACAGCAAATTCACAAGAGCCCCTTTTTCCTGTATTTTCCATAAGGGAATGATAGCTGAGAAAGAACTTGGGATACGAACTCAAATGAGAGAATCATTTTATTATTTAAAAAATTATCAGGATGGAGTTGTTTCAGAGAGGATTCAGTATCAGCTTCAAGGCTCTAGATTTATAAATTCAAGTCACATTTTGCCCCCTGTCTCCTCAGGGAAGATGAATGACTGCCAAGCTACATGATCAATACAGAAAAAGCTTATCATAAGGCTTTACTATATTTCAAGTTAAAATGTACTTAATAGGTTCATTCTCTCCTTTGCTCCTGCTGTCCCCTGAGGTAAAAGACTGTATTAGTAATGTTAGAGGATACCAGTCTGCACTGCAAACCATACTGGGAGGGGAAGCCAGACAGGAAAAATAAAAGTAGTATATTATATTCTAAAAGCTGGGATGGAATATTAATAAAAGATAAACCAAGAAAGTTACAGAAAATGGTGAAGAGCTCACAAAGGGTCACTGCCAACATTTTCATATTCAGAAGAAGTGCTCCAACTCAAAATGCCACAAAAAACAAATCAATTTGCTTCCCAAAAGGAGAAGATCAAAATGAGCAGAGACATTCTGTATTGACATCTGATGTGGCTAAAGCTCATGAAAACAAAACAAAAACTTGCCTGTTTTTCCTGACAAATTGAAAAAATCATTCTCAACTACATGGACTGCACTGAGAGGGAAACTGCTTTTTTTTCCTCAATTTTAGGTTTGAAAAGTTTGTTATCTTCCCTATTTAAAACCTGATTAAAAAAGATTTCCCTTGTATGCAATAAACCAGTTCTCCATTACTGCTAAAAACAGCTCCTATTTTTTAAGACCATGTGCTTTATGACAGTAAAAATAAATGCATAGTGAATAAACAAAGAAGGTTGAGACCTGTGGTAGGATAGAGATCCGAAACGACCTACTGGAGTTTTCATCCCTCAGGTAAATGGAGAGTTTGGGAAATAAGGACCAGGGTCTTTCAGTTTTATCCCAGCATGCAAGCTGGGAACCAGTCCAGAAACCAGAAGAGAATTCCTGTATCTATTAAAAAAAAAAAGGGGGAAAAAAAGAAAAAAAAGGTGATACTTACATATTACATACATTTTTGATAGATTTTTTTTTTAAGTGAACACTACCACTATTTGATACTTCTTCCATTCCCGTGGAGAAATTCAAGCATGAACGCAAATCCGAGCTGCTTCTTTAAGGGTCAAAGCAAAAACCCAATCCCCAACACCCAAACTGAGGTGTGTCATAGCCCAGCACGAGTCAGAAGAAGGGGGAAGAGGCAAAATCAAGGTCAGCCCCCCCTTTCCTCCCCGTTTGTGTCTCATTACTTTCACTGCTCCAATGAACGTGTGTGAGGCATCAACGGGCTTTCAGTGTCTCCCCACCTCCTCTCTGACCAAACACCAAGGTTTTGAAGCAGCAGACACTTCGTAAAAAACACAATCCAAAACACAAACCACGTGAATATGTAACGAAGCGACGTCCCTTCCTCACATACCTCCAGCTTCTCACTCAGCTTTCAGGGTTTTGAACCCAAGGGCTAAGCCAAAAATCTCCTGGCATCTAAGGGAATCAAGTCAATGGGAAGAAAGATGACCCTCTGCCTCTTTTGCTGCCCCATCACTCAGTCCCAGTAAAACCTGACATGCCTTTGAAATAAGGCTGATTAACAGTACTTTGTAATATATCCATGGAACTAACCAAGCAAAAAGCAAACCCCTACAGAGCTTGTTTGGCCAAGACAAACATCTTGCCTAATGCTGTTGCACCCTGAAGCTGACCTGCTGCCAGATCAGAGCAAAGACCTTCCTTGTTTTACTGCATTGCTTTGTGCTGGTTTTCATTCCCCCATGAAGCAGCATTCAAGGCAGTGTCTTGTTCTGAGCCTGCACAGCCAAAGCCTTCCATTTGGGTGAGAGAAAAAAAAAAGGATGGAATCCAGCCTCTTTGCTCTCCTCACTTGTATTTATCTGTGATATTGATTATTTTGTAAACATCAGCTCACACATTAGTTATATGGCATTGTACAGGTGACAGGTATTCAGCCCTCCCCACACACCTGCCAGTGAAATATTGGTTAGGGCTGCACAGAGACTTCATACTTTCAAGTGCTCATCTTTTTTCTTGGGTCAACAAGCACGGGCTCATGTAAACAAGGAGACTTAACCATCACAAACAGGCTGCTTTTACCCTTAAATCTCAGTGCAAGCTTAAGTACATCCCTCAGCACAGGGTAGAACACTCTGCCTCTCACAGCTTAGTCCCAGGCCAGACCTGCTGAGAAATACAGTTCTCCTCTCTTTCCATTTTGTCTTGAAAAGCAGAGCTTGTGATCTGAGAAAAACTGCCAGACAGCACCTAGACTGGGCAGACCAAGTGTATAAAGTGCTCTGCTTTAAGTCCCTGCTTTAATTTCCCATAAAGACTGCTTAATACATTGCATTTCTTTGCCTTACTTCTGTATGCTGAAGCAATGCATTGGGGAGATCTGAGTGTATGATACCTAAAGGGCTATTAAAATAAAGATTTTAGGTTTCCTTGAACCTTCTTTTCTTCAGCTTATTAACTCAGCATTGTATTAACGCTGTGAGCAGGCACTGCTCTGACTTCAGCTCAGTCAGGTGTAGAAGGTGCCACCCTTTTGTGGCTCATCTCTGCCCGCCTATGAAAACCACCACCCTTCAAACCTGCCAAGAGCAAACTGCAGCTATAGCTCCTCCCTAAAAGACTTCAGCCCAAATAAGTCTGGTTTAAAAAACCACCTGTACCACTGAAGAGCACAAAAGCTCACTGCCCTGTTTTTTAATGGAGATGAATAAAGGAATGTGCCACACACAGTTATCCCAGAATATCTGAGGGGGAAGTGACATCTGGCTGGGAAGATCATAACAACCAAATAGGAGCAGGGACTCCTTAACCTGGTCCACCTGTGGTCAGGGAGGGCTGTCTGCCTAAAGCAGATAATTTTATGTTTCAGTGGTACATATCCTGCCAGAAGCACAGAGGACTAAGAGTACAGTTGTGATGCTGCAACACAGTTGCTGAAAATACCCATTTTTCTGACACTGTTCCCACACAGCCGGAATCCAATCCTTACATCCCTATGACTACTTTCTTATTTAGTAGACTGCTTCCTTTTTTTTTTTAGAGCTGTGAAAGTAAATTTTGGGGTGTGTGGAGGGAAAGGGGTACAGCAGGGAGGTCCTTGGGATTAAAAAGAAACCCTGAAAAAGAAGAGTTAGTTTATGAATTTTTAATAGGAAGAGCAAAAACCATTGAGCAGAGTGAGTGAGTTGTTCCCCTCTAACACCTTATTGATCAGTCCACTATTCACATGCCATGTCCTGACCAGTAGCAGACTGTGAACCACTGGGACCCACTTCATGGGATGCCTCATCCACAAGGTACCATTACAGGAGCTCTGAGGTGGCTTCTTTCAATTCCCCCCCATCGACCAAAATTGTACATGTCAATACTTCAGTGTTTTGCAAAGAGAAGAACTTTTAACTGGTACATTTATTTCAGATATTGGACACCTGTAGGCAGTGAAGAACACTTCATGCCAAATCTCTGCTCTCCATCAGGTAGGAAAAGGACCTCAGTCTTGAATTATCAGCACATAGGAAAATACTGTCTTTTGGGAAGCTGTTTACTGTACTTCCTGTGATTTGCTACTGTCTGATTGTGAATCCACGACAAAAATGACAAAACTGTTCACACTGAAATACTTGGGATTTATTCTTCATCTTTAACCTTGTTGTTCTCTTCCTGGTATTGAACAAAAATTTATGAATAGTTTTTATTAACCAGAAAATGCTGCTTCAGCTACTCTACATGCAGACAACCATCCCCATGCCCTACTTCTAAAGCCCACTCTATTTCCAAAGAAAGATGCTTTTGAACATAAATAATTCAATAATGAAGGTCAAAAGCAGCTTTATTGATAGGAATAATCCTAATGAATGGCATTTATTCTAGACAGCAATAAGCATTATACTTGGAAAGGAATTGCTTGCAGCAGCAGGTTCTTCTACTTTAGAAACACTCTGTTTTGAATGAAAGGACTGATTTTTGCACTCTTAATACTTTGAATCAGAGCAACAGGGATTATGTCTGTGTTTCTGAAATGCTTAGAAAAAATATGCTGTCTCTGCCCTATTTCTGATGCATTTCAATACAAATACTTTTGCCTGTACTTGAACCCCCCCTTTTCCCTCCTCCCTTTCCCTTTTCACCTCTTCCTTTCCCTTTCCCCTTTCCATCAGTCATTTCTCACTTATTAACAGGACTGGACCAGGTAAGATTCTGCTCCCCTCAGGTTTAAAACCTATGACTTGCAAGGCAGACAGCGAAGATGACACTCCTTTCAAAGATCACGGGATCATTCAACAGGAATCTCACATTTTGGGCAGATTTAACACCATCAGCTTACCAGGGACGTTCGAGCTATTGCCTGCACCACAGCACTGAAGACTTTCTCTGGCAGACGAAGGAGTGTGGTTCCACTGTCCACTATTGCTTTATCAGCATTGTACTGGGGAGTGGAGAAAAAAAAAAAAAAAGGAGACTGTAGTTACTGTAATGCAGATTCCACTGTTTCATAACCATAACAAAGCTGTTCCTTTCCTTTTTTTTTTTTTTTTGGCAGCTGGCTTCCCAGACCTGCATGTCATTCCTGTCAGCAGCCCTCTCCAGCTGATAGCTTGAATTCAAATGAAGTCTGAGAGCAAAAGCAAGATACCATCAGCTTAGACACAAGAGTGAGTTTATCTGCAGCACTCGGGAAATTGCTGTGTGCCACCACAGCTGGTGCAAACGGCCAAAACACGCTGGAAAAAGAGGTAAAGCCCAGCCCCTCTCAGAGGGGGCAAAGGCACTTTCATGTTCAGTACAGACAGGTGCTAAGCACACATGTCTAAGCCCTCAATCAAGGCCTCTGCCACCATGAACACAACTCACTACAGTCTAGACACTGTTTTAGTGGCTGGCATATTGAATTTAAGCTTAGCCAGAGAAAATTAGGCCTTATTGTGTGTCGGTACTGGCTCAAGAGTACAAACACCACACCTTTCTCCCTGGGCTGCTGAAAACCACTGAAACACAGACAAAAGCAAGCACAAAGAAACTTCAAGTTTCAGTCTTGCTGCCTCAAAATCTGCACAACCACCCCTCCAAGTGAATATTTCTCTTATTATTAAAACCCTAACCCTCAGACTAAGAGATTTCAGCAAGTGTCAGATACAGTAAACAAGGTGAAAACTTTTTAAGAAGTAGAACTTTTTCCATGAACTCCTTAAAAACTAGGGGGGGGAAAGAAAAAGTAGCAGTGACAGCTGTTTGTATTAATTACTTTTGTTGCCAGCTTAGGCAGCAGGATTAATATAACTGAACAGTGACATGTTTATGGCATAATCATAGGACACAAGATAATATACAGCATAAGCTACTTAGGAAGAGGTCAGACAGCAAGTAAATTTAAAATACATTGGTTTAGATGTTATCAAGTCACATGGACATGGAGTCCCTTTAGTGAAGTGACAAAAATAAAACCCACCAAAAAGTAAAAAAGTAGGTCTGACAGCTATTTCTTTATTATTTCTTTTTTGGAAGAGCTGCTATAGGCTGCCATGCTGAGCTGACAGAAAAGCAAACAGGAAACCATTTATTATACACTCATAAACTTCTTTATATTTCTGTTATACACTTCTAGATAGTGGAGAGAAATATCAAGGCCTTGTGGAGTCCATTGTAACAGATATTTGTGTACCACAAATACACAATCAATGCCATCCTTGGAAAACAAGCAGTTAGGAGGGTCAACCATTGACATAACCCATGGAAAATGCTGGGAGTAGTGGGATGGCTCAGCTAGGGACTAGATTTTCATGCTGTGTACAGAGTGCTGGCAGCAACTTGCCTTCTTGGCTTTCCTGGTTAATATTTACCAGGGCAGCCAAAGCAGAGGGCACTGCCAGCAGCTCAGGACTTCTCCCAGCCCCAGCCTGCCGGGCTCAGGGACACAGCTGTGCTCTAACACTGCACAGATTCCCAGCACTGAAGCAAGGGGACAACTTCTCCCTGGCAAGGAAAGGAGCAGCCTCTGGTGAAGGTTACAAATAACGTCCCATTTCCTAGAAAACAACTGAGAGGAGAGAGGGCGCATAGTTCACCGTCCCATGCAGTGATTCATGCATCCTCTGCAAGCTCCTAACCAGCCAAACTTTAATCACACCAGCTCCGTTTCACTGTTCTTCCTCTAAATTTTTTGTGGGATGATTGCCTGCGCTCAAGGGAGGCACGGTCCTTGTGCATAGGTGACCAGCGTGCTGTGCTAACACACACACAGTGTGAAAGCAAACCCCGGCTCAGAAAACAGCAACAATAACAGGAAACTTTCGTAACACACCGCTGGATTTTTTAAGTGAGTCGTTTTCTGGAAACAGCACGGATTAAACCATTAGTGCAAGGGCTACACCTTCAAAAACATGTTGACTGTTTTCAAAGGCAAGAAAGAAAAGCAAACATTTCTGTTAAGAGGACCAGCGGTTTTGCTTTCCTAGCAGTACAACAGAGAAAAGCATTTAAATAGACCTTGTTTTGCTTATTAAGTTGAAAGATGCTGTGACTAATTCTAAATAATTTATATGGCAATATGATTTCCATATTTCGTATGAAAATATAATATTTATGCACGTGTAATATTTTAATCATGAATTTCACTTAATTTATAAGAACTATAAAACCTTCAGAATTATCATGTCTGACATGGTTTAACCCCAGCCAGCACAACATCCCAATGATTTCCAGCTAAGAGCACAACTACAAGATAAAATTAGAATGTCTAACGAAATCGGGGCATGAAAATTACAGAACTAAAATCAAAACATGAACAGCAACAAGCAACAGTGAGAAACAGGTAAAACACACACATACACAGACATCCTTCACAAATGAAAATAAAAAAGAAAGAAATGGCTTTGGAATAAAAATTGCAACAACACAGAACATTATTCCTAATAAAAACAGAAAATATATCCATCAGGAATAATAACTGGCAAGGCATAAGAGATCAAAAGTAGATTATAAAAATATGAAATAAAAAAGGAGGCATAGGATAAGAACTTTATGGAGCATCCCAGGATAACAGCTGCCACTGCCATCATGAATTATGTACTCAGACAGCTCTACAAGGGTCAGTCCAAAATCTCCCCTTTTCTTTGTTTGACCAGAACTGCTTCAAACCCATTTGAATTGATTTTGCTGTAGGAAAACCACATGCTGTAGCTGTTTAAAGACTCTTGTCTCCTTGAATCATTGCACCATCTTCAGTGTTTAGACACCTTTGTTACGACTGGAACAACCCAAGAGGCTGAGTCCTCCCGAACCCCAGCAGCCTGATTCTCAGTGGACTGTTGGTTTAAAAATTATAGCTTAGTTTCCAAATTACTGGAATATTATCAGTGAGTTTTTAAAGTCCTCTGTGAAGCAATTTTAGCATGTTTGATGCACACCCTGAATTTCACACGGCTCACTCATTTCTTTTCAAAGTTACCAGTTATCAGAGGAGACCGTGACACACATCTGCTTGCAAAGACCCAAACTGATCAATCAGGTGGGTTTGTTCTCAACCAAACTTGCATTTTATATAGACTGAAACACAGAATGGCAAATACCTCTCTGCAGTCCAGTTGGAGGTTCTGACCCCCAACCTCCAGTTTGAGAATTTCCACCTGGTAATACCACTCCTCTTTGATGGGTGTGTACCAAATATCCCCCGTGTACAGACTCGGTTCAATTCCACCCAGGACCTGAGGGAAAGGAGAAAACAATTAGCATGCTTTAAAATCCCAGAGCTTTAGCTTTGGGTCAAGTACATGCAGAAAGGGGAATATTTAATTGTGATACTCAAGGCATCGAAATTTTAATTTAGCATCATTTGTAAGGATTTTAGTGACAAGTTCATTGTCAATAATAAAGCAATATGAAACATCTAGACATTAAATAGATTGTGCCTCAGTCAAACAGAATTCCCATATTGGGCCAAATTACTAGCATCTTTATCTAAAAGCTCACACTGACTTTATTATGAAAGCTCCACGGTTTAAAATCAAAACAGAATCTTCAGGGCAATGTATAAAACGGGCAATGTATAAAAATGGGACAGAATATTAAACTTACACATGATGAATTTGCTTTATCAGATCAGAAAAGCTTTAATACTGTTCAAGAGCATTTCATTTTTNAAAATGGAATTTGACCATCTTGTCACTGATATCACTATTGGCTTCCATCAAAACTGAGGTTCAGGATGACGGGGAGCATCGTGGACTCTCAGACTTTGCACTGAACTAACTTAAGTGAATTCTCTCTTGGGCTTCACCTACATGAATACAGTATGTGAATTCACTGCAAAATAACTATTTGTGATCAACTCCTGTGCTGATATACTTATTTCAGCATAATTTGGGAACAGTCATTCCAACTCCCAATTCTAGATACATAATGGTCAATTCTTGGTCCCACTAAAACTGATGGAAAGACTTTCCAGAGTAACAACAAGCAGAAGATCTCATCTTCAGATTTTTTCCTTTAGTATGTTGTCAACAACAACCACCGAAAAAAAAAAAAGACCCTTGATTCCTCTCCCCCTTTTCACATCATGTAAAAAAAAAATTACTGTAACATTTTGATGAGATTAAACAAGTTTATCAGCTGAGTAAGGGACTACTCAGTTTGAGAAAGGTAGCAGAATCTGCCCTGAGGAAACACCACAACATTTATGTTTTCCTTTGTTAAAAGAAGAAAGGTTTGCTCAGATTTGAGAGAGAAAAAAAAAGAATTGAGAATGAAAATAAATAAGACGCTTCAGTTTTGCCTAAGGGCTTAACTTTTCCTTAAAAAAACCCAGAAAACATAATATATTTAAACATTAAATTTGGCAGAAGTAAAATAGTCACAGAAAAGAGGGGGAGAGATTAACAAAGATACATCTTCCCTCTCCGATTGACAGATACCCACAAGACTACCTCCGTTGGTACCACTTCCAGAAACAGGGAGTCCAGCACCACACATCTGCAAGGAGAAGATGTTGGGGATCTTTGCCTGCCTCACAAGAGAGTCAAAGAACGTCTCCACAGAACTTGAAGGCTTGAAGGTGTCGAAAAACAAAACAAAAAGACCAAAAGAATTGCAGGATTCATTAAAAAGCTGCTTTGCAGAAATCAGCAAATCATTCAAACAAGACCACTTTTTCACGAGTAAATTGAATTTCTGACAACAAGGTGATGAAAGTTCTAGATATAATAAGTCATTAAAAACCCAACATCTGTCATTTTTCTGTTTCTGTTGTTTTCAAAAACATTTTTACTCTTGACCACTGTCACTGTGGCTGCCACCAAATCCCTAAAGCACAAGAGTAATTTTCAATTGCAGTTTTCAAACTCGAACAGTGGTTTCAGGCACAAACTCTCACCGATGCTTTCTGGTTGGAAAAGGCTTTGGGTTATTAGAACAGACAAATGTAACTTGCCCTTCACGCTTTTCCATGGTTAAAAAGGCAAAATTTTAAGGTCAAGATTTTCAGTTTTTCAAAATAATTTAATTCTAATAAACTTCTTATTCAATGGCCTGTTAATTCCTCTTATTTCTTTTGAAGAAACTTCATGTCCAAGCACGTTCACTTCAACTGACTGTGGCCAACAGGTTCTTCCCTACACTGCATGTCGTGCTTTGCTTTGCAGTTATTCAGAGTATTGCAACCTCACTGTAATTCAGATTTCTGAGCACGTAGGTCTCATGATGGGCAGAGACCCTGGCAAGTGTGAGGGGCCAAGGGCTCTTACTACACAAAGACAGAGCAGCCCCAGAAGTCAACAACTCTTAAGTCTCCGGAAGAAGGGAAAAATCAACGCCCTGAGTACACTATTTGCCCAAACCAGAGTTTGAAGAGCAGCTCTTCCCTTCCTGTTGACAGTACATGTCAAGTCAACAGCAGAAATCAATACAAGGCTCACACAACCCTCGAATAAAGCAGAGTTGTCAGGCAGTATTGAATCATTTGTTCTAACTGGAGAGATCTCACTTTGTGATGTGTAAATTGAAAACTATGACTATGAGGCATTCCAATCACATTTTCAGTTTTAGATTATAAGGCTATAAGCTTTAGTCTATAAATTTTTGGGTTTAATTTAAACTTCTACCTCAGTTTCCTACCCCCAGAAGACCGTGATGTGCTTAGCTCTACGTTCAGGGAAACACTGTGGCAAATATTTGTTATGAAATTATCCATCTATCCCCTCCATCCCAACTTCTACTTGATGAACAGAGAATGTCTTACAATGAACTGCCAAGGGCTTTGCCAAGTAATTCATCAGTCCATGGACAAGTCTTGAGGATTGTCATCAGTGCCCTAATAACACCCTTCACACATATCAGAAGACTTTAGACCCGTACTCTGGTACTACAAGCTCTGTAAAAGCTTATTCATTCCAGAGGAGCTAAAATCGGAGTTTTCATCACCAAAAAAAAAGCCGAAATCCTCACATGGGAAAGCGGCACCATCACAAACCAATGAATTCTTTCAGGAACAACCATAAAAGGTTGTTCCTGAAAGAATCCAGGAAAGAGTGGCTGGAAGGGAGGGAGTCTAATGCTGACAGATCATCTGCACACTTTGTTTTAATTGTCACATTTCTGTTTACTGTCACTGTGAAAGACAATCACTGGGGAAAGGATGATTTACCTTGGCTAAGGTGTCGTAGGCAAGGCCAAGAATCCCGTGCCATTTAACCCCGGGTAAGAAGAAGTTCTCTGACTCCAGGATGGTGGCAATGTTGATAGTGTAGCTGCCATAGATTCCTTTGGGCATAGTAATGACATCTGTACCCAGCACTCCAGTCCAGCTTCCTTGACTGTACTTTACTGTGACTTCAATCCCTTCAGATCGGTACGTGCTTGACCTTTAAAAGGAAAAGATACACTTATGCACAAGCTGTTCATCCTCGATGCAAGACAGAATATATTCCATCTCAATTTTGCCCAGAGACGGAGAAAAAAAATTAAGCCTGCAAAATATATATGCATACTGTCTGTAAAAGCTGTAAAATGCAGAAATAATAAAATCTCAAGGCCCTGTTTTTATCCAGAAGCCATCAATAACTCAACTCAAAAAACCTCCTTTTTTTTTTTTTAAATCTAAGGTATTATGTCACCTGGTGCAGCGTGTCCCTGACTCAGACGGGTCCATCACAATAAGGGCAACACTCCAACTGGAGAAGGAACATCTTAAGTGGTGTTAGGAAATGAAAAGCTGCTGAATTCAAATAAAAAAACTGAAATGCCAAGCTAACTGAATAGTTGTAGACTAACACCTCATTAATATTCTTAAAAGATCCATTTTGGGTAAATTGGAATGTTATTGTGAGTATCAGCAGTAAGACAGAGGCTTTCTAAATCTGCAATTTGGTCTATCTATCAGGAAGCAAGCAGACTTGGATATTATTAACAAATGATTCACTGACTTGGAGGAGGAAAGGAAGGAATTCTTTCCAGACCAGAGTAGCAAATGCAAAGGAGTAGTTAAGTATGACAAGCAAAGGAAGGAACAGAATCCTGTTTAGAAGACTTAACACAAACGTTAGAAGAAATCTCAATAGATTTTTCCATTTAAAATCCTGTAATCCCCAAATACGGCAATCATATTCCACCCACGTCGTACCAAAGAGCTACAAAACTTTTAGATCCCTCACAATTTATCCTGGACTCATTCCTTGGCATACAGCTTCCCCTTTTGAAGACACAGGTGACCACACCCAGTTCGCCTGAACAGACTTTTCTCTTGACATCTTTTTAAAAAGTAAACTGGGGGGGATGTAAAATAATTTTATAACACCACTTTTACAAGTGTGTAGAACAAGAGAAAGGGTAGGTGATTTATCAGGTGTGGATATTTTTATCAACCCAGCTTTAATCTAACATCTGCTCTGACAGAAACATCCACATGAAGTGGCTTCACACCCCCCTGCACCTGAGCTCACCAGCACAAAATCCGTGTGATTTTGCCTGTTATGGGGAATAACCTTTAGATGGCAACACAGACAAGTTCCATCCATTCAAATGCCTTATCCTGAGGGACAATTTGGCCACGTGGAACACGCAATTGACTCTTCTCCTGGAAAAGGGAGGAAGAGAAGCCAGGCTCTAACCCAAAGTGGGTTTTGATACTCCCAAGACCTAACCCTTCAAGGGTTAACATCCCAGACAACAGAAATACATGAGATAATATTTCAAAAGGCATGAATTCCAGAGGTAGTTACTACCCGTGTCTGGTTATTCCTACTGCTGTTTTACTTGCTGTGTAATTCTGCAATTGTATGATACACAAAGGAACATCTCTGCTCAGGCTGGGCCTTCAGAACACCTCTGTGATACTGGCAGTACATTTTATAAATCAAAACAGAGTCTGGATAATTAGTGTAATAAGAGAAGCTGGGAGGGCAGGAAATGAAAGGGAAAACACAGGGTTCTTCGTGTAGAAAAGTGTCTGGCCAGGCAAGAGAAGAGGAAACATCTGAAATCAGAGAGAAAACTGAGTGCTGGGAGAATAAAGTGAAGCAAATCTGCAAATACAGAAGGTGTGTGACTGGCAACAGCAGCAGCACACAGCTCTTGTTCCATAAGCAGTGACAGCCTGATGGATGAGCTGTGGGCCAGGACACAGAAAGAATGGGCTCATGAACTTTCCTGTGGAAAGGCAGGACAAGTCACCTCCTCATCCTTTGTGCCTCGGCTTTCCCACCTGTAGAAATGGATATGAAGATGCTCATCTCATTTGTAAACCTCACAAATATCACATTAAAGATAAGACCCTATTATTTCCTTCAAGGAGCAAAATACCTAGCATGGGAAGGGATCTCACATAATTCTTGTGGCAGTAAATTATATTCTGTTCTGCAAAACCACTTCCTGCTCCATCTTCTTGCCTGTAATCAGCCACTCTGATTTTTTCACCTTTCCACCTCACTGATCTAAAGGAAGAAATCTTCTTTAGAGGTCAAAACTAGAGACTTGTTGTAATTCATGGGCTGAGTGTTTTAAAACAAACAGACAGCACAAAAAAAGGAGAAAAATTACAAACAAGCTGTTTTGGCTGTGATAAGAAAGAAGAAATTCAACTCTTCCAGCAGAACAGAGTGCAACTTAGCCAGAGGCAAGGGAAAAGGTCTCCTAGACCATGGTGCTGTAGTGACCCTACTCCCTTCTCTCTCCCTTTCCCATTTTTTATCTTCCCTCCAGAGCAGCCAACAGAAACATGGCCTTCAAACCTCAAATGGATCTCAAGCCTCAGCAGTGGTTAATTTTCTCTTGCAGAGTTACTCCTCATTACTGGCATATAGCATTGAACAAAACAAATAAGGAAATAAATGAAATGACCAAAATGTTATTTCTCATGCCATGATTCCTCTGAAGGAAGCTCAACGTTGCAACAGCAAATCCACTACATGCAGGAAGCCCTGCTTAACACCCACCTTGCCAAACAACTTTAGGACAAAGCAAATGTGAAAACATAACATAAATTATTGATTTTTAACCAAGAAGTCCCATCTAATTTGCAGGGCTTCTGGAAGAAGCTTATAATTCACCCCGAACCACAAGCTGTACAGTGTACACAACCAAACTCAGAGCATCACACTGCAAGGCAGTTTATTTTGCTTGCTGGTATATAACCGATTGTATTACCTCAATTTATTGCCTTTATTTTTCTTACCTCCCTATCTCTTGAAAAGATCGACTCTTGAGCAGCTTGCTCCTGAACCTTCACATGGTGAGGCAGTAGTTCTCACACTGAAATAAAACTGGATGCTGTTGCTGAATACTGAAAGCCCTGGGTATGTCATGTTGACATATTGCTGCAGAGCCATCACAGATAAGTTGGGTTCAACTGTAAAAACCCCTTTATATGTCTGCTTAAGTATCTCTTTTATCATAAGTAGTGTATTCAACAAAACTACTTGTTATTTTGAGCAGCATGAGAAACAAGCACCGTGATTTCTTTTCAGTTCAGGACAAATTGGGCTGTTTCGCAAAACCTTATACATCGTGGTGACTTATAGAGCATGATTATCACAGCAAACTCAGAACTTTTCACAGCAAAGTTTTGTCAGAGCCACTCAAAAGCCCAAGTTGTAAAAGAGTTCATGATAACAGCTTTACTCAATTTGTACAGAAAAAGGCAGATAATTAAACTGCAGAGTTATACGACACAGATTATACGATACATGACATCATTTAATGAGCTGGTTCTAAAATTGCTCCAGGAGGGCTCTTTCTGAAAAACACACCCTCTGGGTCCTTTGAAACAAAGATAATGCCTTTCCTATGCACCCTCCTCAATTTCAGTCAAAAAAACCTCATGCATTCCATTTCAGATTATGATCATCGGAATAAAATTAAACTAAGAGCGTGGCATCAGGAAATCCAGACCCATCACTCTCTTTCTCCAACACGACATTAATATTCTAATAAGCACACATCTATAAATCAGCCCCATTAACCTAACAAATTACTAATCTTCTTCAACTTGCAGCTTATGACTTCGGAAGCCACTCCATGACAATACAGGGAAAAACTGCAGGATCGATTACCAGACAAGAAGAAACCTCTTTATCTAATTTTGAAGTGTTCCACCTAGTGTGGAAGGAAAGTGCCCATAGGTCACTTTACTCATTTACACATGGGTAAAGGTCACTCTTGGGTGTGCACCATCTGTGCAAAATCATGACAACCAGGTGTGCGGGTTTGGGCTGGGCTAGAGTTAACTTTTTTCACAGTAGCTAGTACAGGGCTGTTTTTTGGGTTTGTGCTGAAAACAGTGTTGAATATAGAGATGTTTTTGTTATTGCTGGGCAGCTCTTGCACAGAGTTGAGGCCTTTTCTGCCCCTCACCCCATCCCACCATTGAGCAGGTTGGGTGTGCATGAGAATTTGGGAGGGGACACAGCCAGGACAGCTGACCCCAACTAACCGAAGGGATATTCCACACCATATGGTGTCATGGCCAGTATAAAAAGAGGGGGGAAGAAGGAGCTAGACATTCAGGGTTATGGTGTTTGCCTTGCCAAGTCACTGTCATGGGTGTGGGTGCCCTGCTTTTCTGAGGATGGCTGAACACCTGCCTGCCCACGGGAAGTGGTGAATGGATTCCAAGTTCTGCTTTGCTTGTCCATGTGGCTTTTGCTTTACCTGTTAAACTGCCTCTTTCTCAACCCATGAGTTTTCTCACTTTTACCCTTCTGATTCTCTCCCCAGTCCCAGTGGTGTGGGAATGGCAGAGGGGCTGTGTGGGGCTTAGTTGCCATCTGGGGTTAAACCACAACAGCAGGGAAGGTAATCCAACTACTGGGAAAGGTTATCTTAAGGTCAATCTCAAAAAGAGAGGAGCAGCAGAGACCAAGGAACTAGAGGTCACTGGGCTTCACCCCAAGTCACAAAACATCTCAGAGAACAACCTCCTGGGATCAGTTCCCAAGTACCTGAAGGACAAGAAGGGAATCATGGATACTCAAGGAGGAATTCACAGTCATTTCACACCTGACCAATCCCACTGCCTTCTACAGTGAGATGACTGGCTACACAGATGAGGAGAACACAGTGGCTGTAGCACATCTGGACTTCAGTCAGGCTTTTGACAGCATCTCTCATGGCATTCCCACTTAGAGGCTGAGGATGTGGGGCCGAATAAACTGACCACTGTGTGGCTTGAAGATGGACTAGGCCACTTGGCCCAAAGGACAGTGACCATTGGCTCGACACCCAGGGATTGTGAGTGGGGGAAACACTGTTCAACAGCCTGGAGGAAAAGAGACTCAGAGGAGACCTTTTCACTCTCTACAACTACCTGAAAGGAGGTTGCAGCCAGGTGGGAGTCCTTATCTTCTCCCAGGCAACCAGTGACAGGATGAGAGGACCTAACCTCAGGCTGTGTCGGGGAGGTCAGGCTGGACATTGGGAGGAATTTCTTCATGGAAAGGGTTGTTAAACATTGGAAGGGGCTGCCCAGGGAGGTGGTGGAGCCCCCATCCCTGAAGGTGTCCAAGGAATGACTGGACATGGCACTCAGGTGCTCTGGGCTGGGTGACAAGGTGGGGATTGGGCACAGGGTGGATTCAATAACCTTGAAGGTCTTTTCCAACCTAAGTGATTCTGTGAATATCTTAATCAAGAACCCACATGATGCACAGACAGCACACTCAGTAGATTTGCACAGACACTACATTAAAGGGAGAAGTTGACATGCTGAATGTCAGAGCTTGAATCCAAAGGAACCTTGAAAAATAGGAAGACTGAGCCAACAGAAACCTTGTGGCATTGAACAAGGAGAAGCCCAAAGCTTTGTAGCTGAGAGAAAACAACTCCATGCATCAGGACAGACTGGGAAGCAACTGAAAAGGGGCTCAAAATGATTTGGGGTGATGGTGGACACTGGGCTGGATAAGAGCCAACACCGTAAGTCGCTCCGTGCATGCAGCGAAGTCCAGACCAGGCCACATTTGGAGGGCCAGGACAACACATCCAAGGAAAATGCTCTCCCAGTGTGGTCAGCACAGGTGAGACCACACCTGGAACAGACTGTGGACAGCTGTGGGAACCCAGTTCAACAGGGATCTGGCACAAGAGGGACTGGCAGAGCGTTACCAGGCAGGTCAGGGTCCACAAACACAGGACCCGTGATGAGGAGCTGAGAGGAGCTGGGCTTTGGTTTTGCAGACAAGAGGCTGAGGGCAGATCCCACAGCAGCTCGTGACAACTTGAAACACAGAAAGATGACACAGCCAGACCTTTCTCTGCACAAGGGCAACGCCCACTAGTTACATTTTGTGAGGTTGAGGCTGGACAACAGGAAATATTTCCTCCATGGGAGAGTGTGGCCCAGCACTGGAGCACAGTGCCCAGGGAGAGCACGGATTCTCCATCCTCAGAGGTTTACAGGGTTTGGCTGGACTCAGCCATGGCTAACCTGATCTAGTGACAGCTCCACCTTATTTGGGATATGTGCGAGGTGACCCACAGAGGTTTCCTGCAACTGGCATTTTTGAAACATCTGATTTCATCGGGGCAAGGATCCCTCCAGGATGACATTTATTTAAATGTATTTAAAATACTTAAAATGCAAGAAGCATGGTGTAGTCAGGTTCAAGCATGCTAACAGCTGCACTTTATTCTGAGCACACTGTAGTACTCCATCAATCCAACACAAACCAGAAACTCTTATTGCAATTGCTCTGGACTGTAATGTCTTGAGTTTGAATAATATTGCAAAACATCCTTAACTAACTCTTCAGGGCCTAAATGTCAAGGTTTCGTTATTAACTTTATATCAGAGTTCTCAAAACACAGTGTACACTGAGAACACTGATCAGAGACTGTAACCTTCAAGTGATTTCACAGCCTTTCTCAACACACAACCTTTACTGTAGCTGTTTCTAATGGTTTATGGTTCTTATGAGAGAGGCCTTGTCCTTCCAGTCTCAATAACATCAATTAAGAGAAAAGGGGGAAGGAATGTTTGTGCTTTAAATTCTTTGCAATTAAGTTTCCTCTAGGACTACATATGGAAGAGGATATCTGGCATAGAAAACTCTGCAGTAGTGCAGAAATAGCTTTTAAGTGCAAATTCTTGACTTTCCAGACCTGTAGTATATCAGAACGAGATGTGAAATATCTCCATTAATAGGATATATGACAGGAGGTAAGGCTATTCTAGTAAGGAGCATGGAAATAATGGATTTCCCTCCAGCTCATCTTATTGGAAAAAAAGTGCAAAACCCCATGTTAAAGTACATAATGAGGTAATGGGAATGGTGATACTCTCCAGCCTCCCAGCCTTCCAAGTATTTTCATCCATATGCTTCAGCTAAACATAGACACTGCGTTTTGGAGAAGTTTACCTGAAATAATTGAACCTAGAGAAGGGCAGAAAGGAAGGAAGAAAAGAGGAAGAGTGATTCAGACAGACAAAGCTGTGCTTGGCTGTGATTAATGTCAGCTTATGCTAAACACAGTAAATTTAGTGCATAACAAGCACCAAAACCAACAAAATTGTATTTTATAAATAACAAGATTCATCAAGGTCTGTCTAGATCATTAACTGATTGAGGCCCTTGAGCCAAAATAAACAACAAATTAGGTTTTGACTAACTAATTTTGCTTTTGGAAGTGATGTCAAGTAAACAGATACGATTAATTTAATTAATTTAACTTAATTAATTTTTGTTTTCGAACAAAGGCAAAGTATATTTAAACTTTTAATTCCTTCCAAGACTATTCAGAGAAGAAATTGGCTGGAACTGGTGTGGTTCTCTGCAGATAATTTTTACCCTGTAGTCGTCTTCCTTTTTCTCCAGCTCTAAGCAGTGCTGTGCTCAGAGCTCAGCTGTGCTGAAGTCACTGGGACTGCTCATGGTGTCAGGCAGGACTTTGCACCAGGCAAGGCCAAAATTCCCAGTCAGGCAACTAACATCCCACTCTCACGGGATGTTAGTTAAACTGCCTTTTCATTCTCTCTTGCGTGGAGGAACCAGAATCTAAAAGACACCTCAACCCAGCACAGAACAGGTACTTACAGCTCAGCATCGAAGTAGGAGGTGACATCAGGATCAGGCACACCTGCCACTGCAAAATTACTGCTCCCAGTGTCAACCAGAATATTTAACTGCCAAAACAAAGCAACAAAAAAGAAATAAAAAAAAGGAGAGGTGATTTGCATATCCAATTAAACAAACAAACAAAAAATCCCATTACTGTTTCTGTCTAAACTACCTTCAGTTTAAAAGATCATGATGAACATTGCCCTGAAAAATAGATTTAGAGTCACTTCTGTGGGGAAAGATAATGTTGCTGCAGGCCCTTCAAAACAGCTGATCATGCTGAAGTGCTTTAAAATAGTCATGTTCCTGGAAGGGGGGAAACTTGCCAAGCCCATATTCGCACAGCAGATGAATTCCTGATCATCTCAGATTTCTTTTTTGGCCCAACCCATGCGTCTCAAAAACTCATCCGGGACACAAGCTGAATTATGTACTGCTCAAAGCACTGTTTGCCTTAGAGCTTATGAGATTTCTAAGTAGGGACTGAGTGCAGGTCTAGGACAGAAATAAGGAGAAGCACGAAGGTGCCTCGTGTCTTGGAAAACATAGGGAACGATGCCCAGTTTGTCCTCAGCAGCAACAACCTCCCACAGCCTTCACCACCTTTACACAGAAGGATGGTGGAGTTATAAACGCCGTGAAAAACACTGATTGAAAGGTGGCCTAAGAGTGGGCCACTTGTTGGTTAATCAGGAGGGTGATTTAGGGCTAAAATTGCCTCACAAAACCACAGGGACAAAACGAGGTGCCTCCTTTCCCCATTTGGCTTAGGTAACCAGGCTGGTTCACCACAGCTTGTGCTAATACAAAGCTGAAGGAAACAGCAGCCAGATGCAGGATCGCTTCTTTCAGTGGAACCAAGAAACTACATTAGATGTAGTGTCATTAGATGATAATTTAAGTCAGTCAGTCAGAGACTGTACTGCTACTGAAAGCAACAGTCACACTTTTTCCCTGCTCTTGGCTGGGTGCTTCCCAGAGCTTGTTGGCATATCCATGAGACTGTGATGCAAATCAGAGCAGATTCCTCACCTAAGATACAAAAAAAAAAGGCAATCTGCCATATCAGGCAGCTACTCAAAAAGAGGTGGTTGGAGCAGATACTAGAAGAGGGTGATTGCCCCTTTTGGTGACAGTGTGGTCTCAGATCAGCTTAAAGCAATTGTGAAATGACACCCTAGGCAGCAGGGAACACCTGCTCCCCAGAAAAATATTAAGGAATTAAGAATTTTCCTACAGGAGGGAGTGAGATGTGAAGACTTGGCTGCTCGTGATTTAAAGACAGCTCGAATCAGCCTCTTTGTCAGCCCTCAGCACTCCTCAAAAAGTGAGGCAGCTTGAGATCTAGCATGGAAAGGGGATGTGGGAAGGGTAAGAGAGAACCATCAGGGAAACAAGCTTAGTGTTGACAAAAGAAGTGGAGAAACACAGCTGAGCTCAGAAATGAGAGTAAAGACAAAGGAGGATAAAGCATTTGGAGAAGATACGCTGAATCTTTCTTTATTAAGCCTAAGACTGAGCACAGACAACAAAGTGTGAGTCAGTGTTCAAAAACATCTTTGGTTCATTCATGGAGTGGGAGGGAGGAGACGGTTCCCCTTGTTTTACCTACTTAATATAGTATGGAACTGAGGAGCTCTGAAATTAAAACATGAACACAAAACCAACTAGTAAGTTGTGGGAATCCCTTCTAAACTTCATTCACACATTGGTATTCCCAGTCCTAATCATGCAGAAATTTTAAGACTAAAAAGAAACCAACCTACAACCTCAGTCAGGTGCCTCACTGCAGCCCAGATTTTAGATTAAGCAAAGACAATACATTAAAATTTATTTTGCAACCCCACAAGGTAGACAGAGACATTTCAAAACAAAAGAACATCTACAAGTTCACCTGGGTCCAGAAGCTGAGGCTTTAAAAGAAAATAAGAACCTCTGAGGGCATGGTTTGCAAAAAAACCCCAAAGTTTGCTACATACTTCGTTTCGATGATATCAAAAGCCTAGCATTTGTTAAACTACCTAACAAAGTACAAACTATTCATTTCGCCCCCCCTCGCCTTCTCTGGGATAGAAATCATATTAAAAATAAATAACAAAGAGCAGCTACAATGTGTGCATCCATCAGGACCGACAAAATTTGCCTCAAAGGGGTGCTGCAGGGCTTAAATTAATTAGGCTTCCTGAGGCAGTCTGTGATGCTTGAGTAATGGGCATTATACATCAACTGTGTAAATATATGTAGGTGTTGCCCCAGCCTCAGGAATATGCATGGCACCATACACGGAGGAGGACTTGGGGGAAAAAAAAATCCCCAACAAAATATGACACGTATGAAAGATATTTTACCCCCACACCTTAAATACAATGTTATCACCACAGAATTCACAAATCACTGGAAGAAAAGGGCAGATTTACTACCCACAGTACAGGGCGAGTCAACATTTCCAAAAGAAAATAGATATCTCCCACGAAAAAAAAAAAAAAAGGGGAAAACACAAAGCTGGCTAACCAGGCAAGCGCCAGCCCACTCGGACACAGCAGCGCTCACATGACAGATCCCTATTGAGCCTGACATTCCCTATCCGCATGTTTGTGCTTAATGAGATGCAGGCGGCCAGGGCAGACACTGATTTATTGTAGTCCTCACAATAGCGCCAGTGATTAGCAGCTCATTTTGGGGTGGGTATAACTTACTGAGTTCTCTTTCTCTCCCGGCTACCCTTCGGGTCTGCATTTCCTTTAGTGCCTTCACATCTCATTAGGAGCCACTTTCATGTTGTCACCACTGGAGCCTTCTTTATTCCGTGGGGCTGCTGGGGGAGCTTCAGGCGAGCTCTGGGGTGTCACAAGGTGGCCACTGAAGGAGCCACGGCCCAGGGCTGCCCATCCTGCCTCAACTCGATCAAAGATCCACAGCAGCCCCACTGAGAAGGTCTTGGGGCTGTTGGTGTGTGAGACGCTGGACGTGAGCTGGCTCTGGTAACCCAGAACCGCCCCCCATGCCCTGGGCTGCATCACAAGCAGCGTGGGCAGCAGATGAGGGGGGGATTCTGCTCCTCTGCCCCACTCTGGTGAGACCCCACCTGCAGAGCTGCCTCCAGCTCTGGGGAATAGCACAGGAAGGACATGGAGCTGTTGGAGTGAGTCCAGAGGAGGCACCAAGATGATCAGAGGGATGGAGCAGCTCTGCTGGGAGGAAAGGCTGGGAGAGCTGGGATTGTTCAGTCTGGAGAAGAGAAAACTTCAGGGTAACCCAACTGCAGCCTTCCAGTACCTGAAGGGAGCCGAGCAGAAAGAGGGAGGGACACTATTTACAAGGTCCTGTAGTGACAGCACAAGGGGGAATGGCTTCAAACTGAAATAGAGTGGCTTTAGATTAGATATTAGAAAAAATTCTTTCTTGTGAGGGTGGTGAGACAATGGCACAGGTTGCCCAGAGAAGCTGGGGCTGCCCCATCCCTGGAAGTGTTCAAAACCAAGCTAGATGTGGCTCTGAGCAACCTGGTCTAGTGGGAGGTGTCCCTGCCCATGGCAGCAGGGCTTGGAACAAGATGATCCTTTCCAACCCAAACTACTGCATGATTCTGTGGTCTTCAGAGGGCAACCCTGCTCTCTCTCAAAAGATGAAGCCAAACACACTGTGTGTTCACTCCCCAGCCACTGCCCTCTGCCCAGCTTACTAACGAAAACAGAAATCCACGGCACCTCCACCTGATTCCCTGAGCAATCCGCTGTGACAGCTGGAGAGTGGCCAAATCTCTCTGTGCCTTTACCTTTCTCCCACAGGGATACAAGACCCTGATGCTGAGGCAGAACCAGCAGTGGTGGCATCACCCTCTCCAGCTGCCCCAGAGACGGTGACTCGGAGCTCTCACAGGCAGGCGGAGCAGCTTCCTTGAGTTTATTTTGGCAATCGAGTGAATCACTTCCTGTCACTCAGAGCTCATTATTTAGTGATCTCCCCGTTTTGTCAAAGACTGTCAGACAAAGCCAGGTTTTGAAAAGGCCAAGACGTGGCTGAACAAGGCTATAAAGGCAAAACTGCACAAAGTCTGCTGATCGATCACATGCCCAGCCTTAAAACCGATGAAACCCTACTTTCCTTTTGCTTTCAGAGGCACAGAAGCAAAGCCTCGTTGTTTCGGCTTTTCTTTTATTTATTTATTTATTTATTTTATTTTTGTGGTTTCCAAGTTCAATTTCAGACCCACATGGCAGACACTAAGAGCAAATGCAATAGGCTGTTTTTTCCCCCTGAAGGTCACCTTTACCACAGCCGTGGGACATAAAACCTGCACCTAGTAAAGCACCTGGAGATTATTCTGCTGGATGCATTTCCTATGTGGAAACAGTGTTGTTATTATTAATAGGAGGTTCATAAAGATCCCTGTTATAGACTAAGCTAGACAGGAACATCCACCTCTGCCATGACAAACTTACAGACAGAATCTGACACTCCATCTATATGCCATTAAGTTGTGGTTATAAAAAGAAACAAATCCAAACCTGTTTACTGAAAGTCACAAACACTGAAAGTAGAAGTCTCTTCGGTCATGCATTTTACATTTTTTTCTACTCTGAAGGGGTAGGAACACTAAAAAAAAACCCCACCCAGTTGTAATGATTTTTTTCAGCTGGAAATCAAACACACTGTCAGTACTTCAAGGATCCCTCAAACTTGCCAGTGCTTGATTCAGCTCCAACATCAAATAGCACCTTCTGTATGCTTATCCCACTTCAATAATTTAACTTGCCACTACGTCTTTAATATTTTTTAAGCCTTCCGTTGCTGAGTGCTGTGTTTTGATATCAGAAAACAAAAAGTAATTGCCTATTCACGTGTCATCTTTATTTCATTCAGCCAAGCTTTGGCTGCCTGCGTTCAGGCACCTGCCCTATCTGATACAGCAGGTGATGTCAATGTGACGACATCAACGCCAGCCTAGGCATTACGTATGCATCATTTAACTGCAATTTGCAGTTATCCACCATGCATTCAGAAAGTTATTTCCCTCACATTTTCAAGGAAAATTGATAAAACGTAGCAATCTTTCAATTTCTGT